ATATATTTTATAAATATATGATCAAATTGTTTTTGGTTGTTAAATTATAATTTTAGTTATTATTTATGAAATTTTATAAAATATTAGAAATGAAATTAAGAAGAATAAATTTGTAATTTAATTTGGATATAGTGTTAATTAATTAATTCGAATTTAAAAATGAAAATGGAGAGGGAAACACGCGCGAGAGGGCGCAAGTGGGGGAAAAAGAAGAGAACGAGCGAGGGGAGGTCGCTATTAAAGCAGTCGTACATAATGCTTCAGACGCCTCCTCTCTCTCTCTCTCTGTTTCTCTCTGATCTTTTTAGGTAACCTCCCACTCTCTTCTCTCTGCTTCTTCCGAAATTGCAATTGCAGAGGATGAATCGCCTTGCGCCGTTATCGGAGGAGCCGATCGACGAAAATGACGGCCGGACACGGCATCGCAACCGCAGCACCGCGACCGGCAGCAGAGGCGGAGGACGATCGTGGCGGAACTGGATCAGAACTCATCTTTCGATCCTTTATTGTGGAAAAAAATCCGATAGCCTTAATGTCCTTCTCAGCGTCCTCGGCTGCCCTCTCTTTCCCGTCTCCGTTCAACCTAACACTATCGTTTCCTCCGCCAATCAGGTATTTCAGCTTTTTTATTTATTTATTTATTTATTTTTGTTCTCTTTTTATATATTTTTCAGGAGAAAATAAATTAGGCTAATCATATTGGATGATGAAAGTCTCACATCTACTAATTTAGGGAGTGATCATAGGCTTATAATCAAGCAATATCATACGTCAAGAGTCGTGTTCGTTACGCTCAAGTGGACAATATCATACCATTGTGTAGAGTCATGTTAGTCTAACAAAAATAAATATATATGAAATGCCTCATGATTTTATTTTTATTTTTTTGATTTATGTTAAATTATAAATTTAGATATTTTTTATGACGTTTTTTTTATTAATTTTATTTTTACTATTTTTAAATGGAAAAAATGCTTACAATTTTAGCTTAGTTCAAAATAAAAATTATTTTTTAAAAGTATTTCGAAACTTACTTGAACTTGAGAACTATATACTTAATTTAATTAAAATAAAATAAAATAATATTGAAACAAATCCTTTAACTATTTTATTTATTTAATTCTTAAAATTAAAATTTTTTCAAATATGTCTTTCAATTTACAAAATTTATTTCTATATTATAATTAAATTAGTGAAGTTATTAAATAAATTTGGAGTGGATTTATAAGATGTGTCCAATTAAATATGGAATTAAAAGTTGTTGGCCCTAAATTGATTGAATAAGTTGCTACAAACTTGTGTTTTAAGCTAGAATGTCCAAATTTCATGTTTAATGCAATTATATATATATATATTTAATTATAAAAATATTTAGAAATATATATTTAAATATTTAAATCTGATTAAAATATTATAATTTAGAGATACTATCGTAATCAATTAAATTATTTTTTTTAACAGGTTTCATCGTCGTCTCAATATATTATAGAACATTTTACCGCTGCGACGGGGTGTCGAAAATTGAAAGGGAGAGTGAAGAATATATTTGTGACGGGAAAATTAACAATGGGGATGGCGGATGAGGTTAGCTCCGGCGGCGGCGGCGGCGGAGGACCCACGGTTGGAGTGGCACAAAAAGGTTGCTTTGTGATGTGGCAAATGATTCCTAATAAGTGGCTGATAGAGCTGGCTGTGGGAGGCCACAGCATTGTGGCCGGCAGCGATGGCAACGTCGCTTGGAGGCACACGCCTTGGCTTGGTTCTCATGCCGCCAAGGGCGCCGTCCGCCCTCTCCGCCGTGCTTTTCAGGCAAGCCTTTTCAATGTTCAATTCCATTTATGTCTTATTATTTCACCATTTGATTTTTTAAATTTTTTCTTTTTTAAAATTAGTTTTAATTTTAATACCCTTCATTATTTTTTTTTTTTTTTTTTTTTTTTTTTTTTTTTTTTTTTTTTTTTTTTTTTTTT